ACAATCAAAACCTTAAAAAAAAAAAAAAAGAATTACCTGAAACGGGAATATTCTGTGAGACTGATAACTGCGCATCTCCAGTTCCTGGTGGCATATCAACAACCAAATAGTCCAGCTGACCCCAATCTACCTAAAAACCAAGATGACATAAATAGCATCACTATATAACAATTGCAGTAAATACCACAGTAAATAAAAATAAGCTAGGAACAAAAATAAAACAGTAACGATCATTTCAAGCATCACTAGATAACAGGATCTGACTCCAACAGATTTTTCTGAATGATAAGGCCAAATTTCCAAATTACTAAACACACACTAATGGTAAATTATTTCACAAAGAACTTTGATATTCTTCAGATTGTAGCTTACATTTAATTTCCTCAGGGCCAAGCCAGTTGTTGTAGAGTTCATTCTAGGTCGTTGTAATTCCATGTGTGCCAGAGTAGAACTGTGCTTCATAGGTTATTCTATCATTGATTTTTCTAAATTAGATTGCCAGACTTTTCTTCTGAGTTACCTCTGAGTGGAAAAGAACCTCTCATCTTTCTATCACCAGCCAAGCATCAATGCGTTTACTGTTTGCATCACCCAGGAGCCCACTTCTTCAGGAAGCGACCTCTAATTTCCATTAGATCCGATATGGCATTCCTATTAAGAATTTCCCTTAAATAATCACTTATTCATTCACTCAATAAATGTTTACTGAGCACCTACTATGTATCTGGCATTGTGCTAGGCATTAATAATTAAGTCGTGCCATGTTCTGTGCCTTCACAGAACTTATAATACACAGGGAGACAGATGTTAAACTAATTATTCAGATAAATATATAATTACTAGCTTTAAAATACAAGAAGCACAGTCAAGACTGAAATATACTTCAAAGGAAAAACAGTTTTAGAAATCATAGATTAGGATCAAAGTTTAGGATCAAATGGTAGTATGTGATGGGAAGGAAGGTATTCATTTACTGCTGTTTCATGATTTGTCTCCCCATAACACTAAAAGCCAACATAGAATACCTAGCACAGAAAGAGTATACAGCAGGTGCTTGATGAATTTTGTTTCAAGGAATAAAAAATAAATGAACACATAAAGTTTTGTATTTTTTATTATATATAAGTGGAATCTATACTGTGTATGTTATTCCATATCCTGCTTTTTGAAACTTAATAGTAAGCTTTCTTTACCATATGATTACGTCTTTAAAATAAAGTTTAAATGATGTTGGATCCAATAGATTCATTCATACATTGATACTTTTATTCAACACAAACAATTAAGAAACAATTATGTGCCAGGTACTGTTCCAGGTGATGGATATGGAGTAGAAAAGCAAGTCCCAATCACCACTGATCTTACATTTTACAGAAAGAGGCAGGCAGGCAGGCAAAGCAACACACTAACCATTCAGAAAGTGATAAGTGCTATACAGAAAACTATGATTACCCCTTACTATACAAACTGTTTGGTTCCTGATTTAGATAGGCAGAGCAAAAAGCAAGAGATAGTTCCAAAACTCTTCCACTGCTGAATTTCAAGTAATAACTAGTGATAGCTCAGATAGCAAAGGATTTAGCAAAAATGTATTTCCATCTCATTCGACAATGAGAACGATCTGTAGAGCAAGGAGATGAGATAGGAGTCATGGAAGGCACTGCTTTAGGGTAACCAAAAACCTAAGTGAAGTGAGTAAACACTGAGGCAGTTAGCTACCAGCGGAAAGAAAGCATTCTAGGCAGGAGCGATACCAAGTGCAAAGGTACTAAGATAAGCATATGCTTGGCATATTCAAGGAATAATCAAGAAATTAATAAGGCCTTTTAAAAACAGCATCTTCAGTAACAATCATGACCCTTCCTTGGCTTTTTCTCCAAAACATTTATCAGCACCTGGAATTATATATTTAGTTGTCTTTTAATAATCTTACATTTCTCAAGGAAGTCCCGAAGTGGAGCAAATGGTTAAAAAGCTTGGCTGCTAGTCAATAGGTTGGAGGTTCAAGTACACCTAGAGGCATCTCAGTAGAAATTCCTGGCAATCAAATTCCAAAAAAATGAGTCATTGAAAACTACGTGGAGCACAATTCTTCTACTCTGGCACACATAAGGTTGCCCTGAGACAGAGTCAACAGCAACTGGAATATACTCTGCAACATGCTAATATACTGCTTTTATAACTTATTTTTTATTGTTGAAAATATATACAGCAGATAATATATATAAGCCAACTTAATAATTTCTACATGTACAATTCAGCAACATTGATTACATTCTTTGAATTGTGCATTTTACCCTCCTTTACTGAGCTGTTCCTCTATCATTAACTTTTTCAATCTAATCTTTCAAACTGCTATTACAAGAGCACATATAGATCTTAGAACAGCACAATGCTCAAGGCAGAGATTCTTTGCTAGTTAAGTTAAACTATTTTAAAGAAGACTTCAGGGGCTATTTTTGCTCAAAATTGAATGATTGTCTCAGGACAATAGTTCCAGGAGTTCATCCACTTATATGACTCCAGAAAGATTGGATCCCATGAGAATTTGAAATTCTCTTCTAAATGTTCCCCCTTTTGATCAAAATGTTCAATAATGGTAGTTAGGCACCCTCCAGTTCTGGTTTCATGGCAAAGGAGGTGTTTGTTCATGGAGGCAATTAGCCACACAAATCATTTCCTCCTCTTAGTCCTGACTGTTCTGCTTCTCTATTGTTCCAGGCAAAGAGATCAATTTTTCAGCCTTGGTTGGATGCTAATAACTTTTAAAATCTGAGACACTATGTAATGAACTAGAAGTAGAATAGAAGCACTGAACACCTTACCAGGCCAAGAAACCATCATACCCCTATATCTCCGTGAGGTGTTTGGTTGTATATAATAAACATCAGGAGCAGCTCCTCTTTGTATGTGTGTGGTTGTTGTTCTTACTGAAAATGAATCTATCACACAATTTTTGCCTATCCAATTTTACCCTTACTTGATGCAAGTTTCCCATCAAAACAGCCGGTACTCCATAAGCAATAACATATAACTCACCCCCACACCCCTACACACAAATACACCTTCCCTCTCCCTTCCATCTTTGGTAGTAGTGATTGTTGGTTCTGACTCAGTGCGACCATGTACAGGGCTTCTGAGGCTTTTTAAATTTCTGTGGGTGCAGAAAGCCTCACCTTTTTCCGATGGAGTGGCTGGTGGACTTGAACTGCTAACCCTGAGGTTCACAGTCCAATGCTTATCTTATGGACCCATCATACTCCCCACCCCACCCCCTTAGTAACCAGTAATAAGCTTTGGTATCTATACATTGCCTATTCTTGCCTTTTTATACAACTGACATAAAATATTTGTCCATTTGTGATTGACTTATTTCACTCAGCATAATGTCTTCAAGCTTCATCTATACTGTACCATTCATCAAGATATCATTTCTCTTACTGGCTAAGTAGTATTTTATTGTGTGTACCACATTTTGTTTATCCATTCATCTGTTAATAGGCATTTTGGTGGTTTCCACATTTTTGTGAATACGGCTACAATGAACCAAACCCAGTCCAGCTAAATTTATTCCAACTCTTAGCAGAGACCATATATGACAAAGGAGAACTGCCCTATAGGGTTTCCTAGGCTAGAAGTCTTTATAGAAGCAGACGGCATCTTTCTCCAATGGAGTAGATGGTGAATTAGAACCACCAATCTTTCTTTTAGCCACCTAGAGCTAAACAACTAAACCACCAGGGCTCCACTGCAGTGATGTTTAAGTATATGTGTGAGTCTCTGCATTCAAGTCTTTTGAGTATACCTACCTAGGAATGGAATCGCTGGGTCATATGGTAGTTTTAGTTTGAGGAACCACTATGCTCTTTTTCACAATGGCTATATATACATACGGAGTCCTGGTGTGGTGCTGTGGGCTAATGCATCAGACTGCAAAGTCATTTGAACTGCAAGGCCAGTGGTTCAAGCTCACCAGCTGCTCTTTGGAAACCCTATACAGGGTCGCTATGGGTTGGAATCGACTCGACGGCACTTAACAACAACAACATATGTATGTATATATGTATATATATATATATATATATGGAGCTCTGGTAGCGTAGTGGTTAAGAATTGGGCTGCGAACCTTAAGGTCAGCGGTTCGAAATTACCAGCCGCTCCACGGGAGAAAGATGAGGCTTTCTACTCCCGTAAGGATTTACACCCTCGGAAACCCTGTACAGGGTCGCTATGGGTCGGAACCGACTCGACGGCACTTAACAACAACAACATATAGCCCAAGCAATGATAAGGGTTTCAAGTACGAGCATTTCTTACAGATATAATGACATACTGACATAATGTAAGAGATCCCAGAAATAATAATGAACACAAACTAGTTTGTTTTCAATACAGAGTTCCTTGGTTTGGAAAACAGTTATCCCTAAGAAACACCATTCACCACCTTTTTTACTTTGTCATACTCTGGTGTTTTGTGTGTTAATGTGATGCTGGAAGTGGTACCACCAGTATTTCAAATACCAGTAGGGTCACCTATGATGGACAGTTTCAGAAAAGCTTCCAGACTAAACAGACTGGGGAAGAGGAACTGGCAATCTACTTCTGAAATTATTGGCCAGTGAAAAGGTTATGAATAGCAACTGAACATTATCTGTTATGTGCTGGAAGATGAGCCTCTCAGTTTGGAAGGCACCCAAAACTTGTCTAGAGAGGAGCTGTGGATAGAGTAAAGGATTTAGGACCTTCATTTGCTGATTTGGTACAACTCAAAATGAGAAGACACAGCTGCAAACACCCATTAATAATTGGAACATGGAATGCACAGAATCAGAATCTACAAAAATTGTGTCAAAAATAGAATGAAACACTTTAAAATAGATAGCCTGAGCTTAAATGGACTTGTACTGGCCTTTTTGAATTGGACAATCATATGGTCTACTATGCTGGAAATGACAAATTGAAGAAGAATGGCATTTCATTCATTGTCAAAAAGAACATTTGAAGAACTATTCTGAAGCAAAGCATACTTGTCAGTGAAATGATAATATCCACATGCATACAGGGAACACCAGTTAATGACTATTATTCAAATTTACATATCAACCACCAAATATGAAGAAATTGAAAATT